CAATTTTTAGAAATTTCAAAAATCAAAAATGTAATTATTTAAATTAATAACGTTGGGTGAAATACATTTGTATTTTCATACACATGCTTTTATTTTTCTCTTTTTAGGGCGGTATAGACGGAAATATAGACATGAAATTCCCAATCCTATGGATTTGGAGAAATCCAACTGATAACTCAAGCAATTACTTCTTCTGCATGGTGAAACCTTCCAAATATCGAGCTGGCAAGAAAGCGCTTTCTTTCATATATCCAAATCTTTTGTCATCCATCACCCCAATGCCACATTGCCTCAAGCTCCCAGTACTTACTTCCCCAAAGTGAGAGCAACTGTCTTTAGAAGAGAAAAGCAATTCAGAAAATGATTGATCCAGATTACAAAGACGTAGCTGTGGAGTGAAACCCATAATACTCTAACCAAAACGACCTTAAAGACCTGTTCAGAGCTCTTGCTCTCAAAAGTCCAATGCCGTGCTTCTGACATCGAGACATAAGCAATGGATTTTGTTAGATTAAAATGTGCAAGACGCAGGTCAGTGAAAGCGCCACAGATTTTTCAAGCCTTTTCACCCGTCAATACGGTCTTTGTGTCTGCCACAATATGACCGGTGTCTTCAAGCTAATTGTAATCGCCTGTAACAACAGCCGGTCAGGCCTCTTCATCGGCATCTCATCCACAAGTTTAAAAGCCATGCTGCTTCATGACGTAAATTTGAGTCTATCTCTTCTGGTTCACACGGTGCAGCTCGACGAGGACTACAGCAGTGTCAAGATCTTGCTGGATGCTGTGAAAATATAAAAAGTACATTTCGAAGGTTATCGGAGACGTCAGAATTGTGAACTTACGAATGGGTAACCACGACGAAATTTTCAAGTTTTCGTGTTATCTTTGCCTTTGAGACAGTAGGGAGACCGTAGCAAACTAGTACAAGCGTGACTGGCAGCAGGGGATCGAGTTCATTGATGGGAGGAACAACGTCAATTGAGAGTCACTATTAGACTCTTGGAAAGTATTGTTTCTTTCACTGCAGTTAAAATTTGACCTTATGAAACAAGTTGTCACCGTTCTAGATAAAGAGTCTGTAGACTTCATGTACATTCATCTCTTTTTCCCTAAGCTCTCTGTGGCAAATCTATATAAAAATTATAAAATTCAAATAAATCTGAAACGTTTTAGCTTTATCGATTTATTTAAAACCATAGAAAATGTCTCAAATGTGGTCCTGAATTAATTCTTCCTCTTCATTATGCTTGTCACACAAAATAATTTTGAAATAGTTGATGCGTGAAAATTTGTGCTGACCGTGTAAACATGGCCGAACCAATATCTTTCTACTTAGATTTTGCTTCATTCATCCGCTAAAGACTAAAGACAAGAGACATTTTAATGATTCTGATACTTAGCATCAGAAATGATTTCTCCAGAAAGACATCTTGAGTATTCTAGGAGAGTACTGCGAGGTAGTACTCGATCATCTTGTCAATAGCAATGAAAAAAATGAACTTTTTGATTTGGTTCATATTTGGACAGCATGGCTCAAATCGCACATCTACGCAGAAAAGCCTCACGGGGTCAGTTTTAAACCTTTTACTGTGTTGTAAAGGTACTGATCTATCATCAGAAAACAAATAAGGAAACTTCAGTATCTGTCTATATTTCTGAGATGAGGTATTTTGTACATTATTTACATTATTCGGACTATTGTCCTCATCTTTGTCGCCATATTTATTACAACGTTTCGGCCGTTGTACGCTCCTACCTTCTTCAGGTGGTTGAAATGTCGAACTGGACCCTTTATTTCGCTCACTGGGGTAGACTGTTCTACTTCCACTTGCCAAGGTCACATGACACAGTGGATAAAGGCGTTGGTTAGATCCTAACCTAAAATTTATATATTTATATAAAGACGTAACAATTTAGTTTAGAAGGTGAATTCAAATGGATACCACTGGGCAGAAACTGTGATAGAGTATGAACTGTGAAAACGTCTTTATCTTAGAGAATAGAAACCAAAAATCCATAGGCACTGACATTTAAATTGGTCACCAAAATAAAAAGAACGAGATTAAGTCATTCTAATCAAAGAGAAACAATGATCATTAATATTTGAAGATCACGGATTGAAAAACTCAATAAAGTGTCTGAATTTTTGGGATGGTTAGTTATTTTAGAATTCAGGAATAAATTATAGTCTAAACTGATGTCAGTAAATCTTGCTCAAGCATAGAGGATACAAATAATTATATATCATTATTAGCTGAAGAGCATGAAACAATTACAAGAACACCGAGAAGGAAAAAAAGATACACTGGTCGGATGATAATCCTGAGTTAAGAAAAGCTGATGAAAGAAAGAAACAACAGAAGAGAAATAAAAATGGAATGGAAGATACAAACCAATTAAAAAATATATAATTTAAAAAAGCTACTTAATGCTCTAAGAAAACATCTCCGAAAAATTGGAAATTAATTTAATGAAGCCAATGAACAGAGACAATGTGTTAAAATGGGGAGTGAAACGAAACATTACAATAATATCATACTATAAAACCTCCACATAAGTAATGTCATGGTCTCAAAATCAATTTGAATAACATTTCAAACCTGACAATACTAAAGTTATAAATGCCCGCAGAAATAGGACATAGACCAATATTCATCCAATTATTACAAAATCTGAATTCAAACATAAACAATAATAAACTTATTAATGAGGAAATTAAGACAGCTATTAAAAACTAAGGATTAATAAAGCATTACTCAATGCCGAGGCTTTGAAAATAGCTTTACTCTCCCTTCCAAGGCCAATGTACTTAGGGCTATTTTGCTGACCATAGATATTCTTAGTTGGGGGAATAAATAATCTTGAATAGAAAATCAACATGTTCTACCAAATGTTCCAAGAAATACGTCTCAAGAAAAACATTTCCAAAACAGAAACCATGATCTGGAACTGAAATGAAAGCAGTGATGGCGCCTACAATGAATCCATCATGAAACTTTAGAATGTAGAATTAGTATATAGTAAAACAATTCAGGTAACTTGGCTTATGAATAAGTTATAAGAAATTTGTTTTAGGTGAAAAGGAAATCAAACATTGAATAGGCTGCGCCTGAGGTTGATTCTCCCACTACCGCTAACTGCTTCGAAACCAAAACTCAACCTTGAAAACGTGAACCATGTTCATAAATAGCCTCGTCAGATTGAGATTTTTTTATGGATATCATGGAAAACGCCAAATCTGTTTAGAAATACCTAAACTCTCAGATGTATACAACCGCTTTCTAAGAAATTAAATGGTTTTGAGTCTGATGTTCTTGGCAAGGATCCTCCTTTTTTGAACATTGTTAACATACATATTCAGAAACAAAGAAATGTACCAAATAACAGAAACCACATTACTTGATGAATTCAACTAAAACGAATGCTATATATCACTCGAAGAGAAAATATGGTCGTAATTATGATGTTGACATTCCACACTACTTCAAATAAAAGGTTAGGAAGGAAACCTCCATCATTACAGGAAATAACGGTAACAGCTACTGGACTTGAAAAACCTTAAAAATTGTTTTATGAGAAGAAATTTATGAATTTCAGTCGAAAGCAGTATTGGTTGCATGGTCAATGAATGTGAACTGTTTCCTTGTAAGGAAACAGCTAATATTACAATTACCATTAGTATTATTCTCAACTTTGTTGTTGTCATTCGGCCTTTTTCAGTTGCTTGTGGTTTCGTGTAACCTACAGTGAATTTTGAACTGAACATTTTTACGGGGGCAGATTATTTTTCGTCGCACAAGTTCAGGAGGAACTCACTTTGTGCTTATTTGGTTCTGCTCAGTTATTGGCTGTTGAGTCCAATTACACACTGCCATGTTATTATGTCACAAAATTCGCGAAGCGATACTTTTATCCGCTTGGAAAAATTCAGAGTCGAGAACTTGGAGCCATGAACCTAACCTGGCTGCTGATCGATGTTGTTGTGCTGGTTATCACTTGCCAAACTTAATTTCATTCACCATTGTTTCACGTTTCATTGAGGCTGTTGAAGCCTTACTATTACGTATCTTTGTTCATTCATTAATGGTCCTACATTGGGTTTATTTATACGATAAACCTAGTAAGGAGATCCTCATAGTCTAGAATATATGCACTCTATGTTCAGACATTTGACTCTCCAGTAATCCACTCTCTACCGTTCTTTTTTAACTTCACTCCACATCGTTTTGTTTTAACGTTTTCCCCTCCATATATAGTTAGCCATTCTTGATTTCATTATCTCACTCCTAATTATGGCTTTTCGATATTCCTCCAGCCTTACTTTTAGAGGGCAGCTAGTTTTACCTTTTTATTCTTCGCCACAACTCCAGTATTCTCCCTCAATATTTTCCCCTGTATATATTCTATATCTATATAAACTCCTGATTAAATGAAGGATTTAATTCGAAATTCCCTGAAGTTTACCTGGATCAACAAGCATGTAATGACGGCCAAGGAGCACAACGGACAACATTTGGTGATAAAAACAACAAAGATGGCGAGAATAGTACATACGTATTTATTATAAATAAATAGACATTAAAAGAACACAAATTAGTTTCTGAAATGGGGGAAATATGTTCCTAATTATTTAAGAATTAGGAAAATTGCTGAAGATATACTTAAAATGGTTTAGAAGTATTTGAAATTCATGTAAGACTTAAAATCAGCAAGATTACCGAGGAGAGTGCTGGAGTCTTGAATCGGCTTGCTGTCTCTTTACCCCCGCGTAAAACCACCAGCGGCGTCTGATATAAGTTATTAATAACAATAATTCTTCGACCTCATCTATTTTTAATGTCATTATTAATATTATTTTTAGTATCGATCAAACAAACAAAACCATTTAGACGAAAATCCCAGCAAATTTTGACACTTGATCTACGACTGCTGAATCCGGAACTAACGTGATAGATAAGAATATCGGTAGTTCTAAACGCTGATTTGATTAAGAGCCGTTATCTTTGATTTAAGGAAACTAAGCCAGAAGCGAGAAAAATATTTCTACCTTGTGTTTTGCAGGCGGGTAGTTTAGTGCAAAATGGTGTCTTATCAGGTAATAAAGAAATCTCCATCTTTTCTTGCAACATATGTTCATCAAATCTTTCGGTCTTCCGAGAGAAAGAAATAAAGGCGCACAAATATGCAAAGGGATGAATAGAGAAGTAAAGAAAGGAGGACAAAAAAGCAAGGGGGCGAGGGTGTAAAGAGGGGGAGGTGCTAACTATCTGGAAAAATGAATGAAAAAGAAACATATTTAAAAAGAAAAAACTGAGGAAAGAATACAGATACTATAAAATGTGTAAAAAGGATAAAGAAGTGAAAATGAATAAATTCAAAGTAGAAAAAAAAACTGACGTAGAAAGAAGAAATAATAATGGAAAAACAAAAAAATTAAAAAATATTAAAAGTTCGCAAAATAAGGAAAGCAGAGGAAAACGATAAAGAAAGCTGAAAAGAATTTTTAAAAGTGAGAAATAATAGATTTTAAAAAATGACGAAAATTAAAGGGAAAAATGAAGAATTTAGATTGCCTTTACCATAGTTTGGCTTGGTTTATTTTACGGCATAACAACACCTCAATGGGTTATTTAATGTCGACATGATTTTTATTGCTGGTAATATTTTTTTAGAACTGAATAAATGACTATTTATGATTCAAGAGCATTTTTAATATGCAAAGATTAAACTTTAAAACTATAAAAACTGGTGTAATAAATGTCAGAATATAACGAAAAACAATCTCTTTGAAAGTAAATACTTACAACTAAACCCTCCTAATGCCATCTTATAACATATACAGAGCATACATTTTAGGTTTCGTTTCGTTTCGTTTGTTTTACGGTATATCAAACTCAAGATTTTATTGCTGGTAATTTTTTTTTCAAAATTGTATTGCTGCTATTTCTTTTTAAAAATATATAATTGGCAATATTTTTTAAAGAGTTATTGCTGGTAATAATCTTCTGCAAAGTATTTCTGGTGCCAAAACCTATTTTTATACTTTAATAGTGTGTTGACTTCAGTTTTGGGGTTAACTATATACCCATAGCTGGGACCGTAACAGATGCTACCACCCTGGGTCAGGGTTGACCTGGGAACATCAGCAATTAAGAGCTGGTTCCACGCTCCTCAAAACCTCCTGATCAGAGGCCTTGCTGTTGGACGTAGTTTCTCGTCTAATCCAGAACTTGGATGTAGTTTATCGTCATAACCAGGACGGCCTTACCATAATGTTGAAATCATTGGGAATGCTAACATAATTGGTGAAAGTGTTGTTCATAGTCATCTGTGGTGCACATATACATGCTTGAAATAATAACAAAACAGAACACTAATAATAATAATAATAATAACAAGAAGAAGAAGAAGAAGAAGAAGAAGAAGAAGAAGAAGAAGAAAATCAAAAACAATGAAAAATTTGAACAACGAAGCAAAAGAAAAATGGTGGAAAATCTCGATGAATAATTTGAGAAAGTCGAAACAGAAAGGAAATCTAAAAGAAACAAGGAGTGGAAGAGACAAAGAAAAGAAGAAAGAGAAAAGTAGACAAAGAAAAACAATTAATGTGTGAAAACGAAAGAGAGAAAAAGCGAGAATGTGTGAAAGAGGAAGGAAGTGAAAATAGAAAGCGAGAAAGCGAGAAAGTGAGATGTGTGTGTGTGTGTGTGTGTAAGAGAGAAATGTCATTACAGCATAATGAAATTGAAAGAAAAGATAAGAAATATAGTAATATGATTCAAAAGAATATAACAGAAAGAGATTTTGAAAATAAGAAAAAAAGAACTTTCTGTAAAAAGAAAGAGATCAGAAAAAGAGAAATAGAGACGGAGAAAAAGATAGACATGTTTACAAGATTCGAAATGAGAGAGGAGAAGGAAAGGATATGAAAAATGCACTGAAATGTGAAATATTAAAAGAAGAAACATTGAAACAAACAAAGAATAATAAATAAAATAAACGAAATGAGAAAAAAAAAACATAACAAAATAAACAGAGAAAGTAAATTAATATAACAACAGCCATTAAAATGGTAAGGTGTTTTTCTTTAAAAGTCTTCATCTCAAACGCCATCACGAAAAACAATTTAAAATCTATCGACATTTTCTGTCTGACACTCATAAATGTTCACTTACTTTCGTCTTGACATTTTTCGCACCGTCCTGATTACGTATTTCAGAGGTGAATGCCTTGCGTGGATGTACTTTGCTCGATTTCTCCAGCAGAAAAGCTGTTAGGTTAAAACCCTTTGAAACGATCTTTTGTTTCGTATACAAACGATCCGATTACTCCTCTTAACGAACAATGGATAATTTCTCACCAAATAACAATTTGGAAAAGAAAGGTGTTTCCTTTACTGACGTTAAATCAAGACAAAGAAAAAGTTGTTTTCTACATGTCACACACAAACACATACGCATTCTCACTGTCTGAAAACAAGTTGTATGTGCAGATAATGCTTATATATATACACACACACACACACACACACACACATATATATATATATATATATATATATATATATATATATATATATATATATATATATATATAAATATAAATATACTCTTCAGGTGTGGTATATTCATAGGATAAAGTGCTCAATATCAGAGATAGAACGTATGTAAAGGTAACCTGACGATTGCGTCTAGCATGAAACAGCCTGTCACCTCTAAATTTTTGAATTTATATTCACTTATATATATATATATATATATATATATATATATATATATATATATATATATATATATATAAGGCTCAAAAACTAATATTCTATGGTTAGAATTTGTTGCTTTTAAGCCTTTTATGTTATATCCTTACTCTGCCCTGGACATTAAGTTGTTCCTGGATTCTATCCTCTTGGCAATTTATATATACATATGATGGGCTCTCAAGTCGATTTCGACGTATGAGGTTCCGACAACTTTTTAATGACCTTTATGTTTGAATCTAGAGTGAGATTTCAGACCTGCTAATCACTTGCAAAGAAAACCACAGATTGGCCAAGCGTGTAAGCAAAGAGGGTGCACTTCTCTGGCACCTTCTGAGGCTTTTTTTCCTTTCTCTTGCTTCACGGAGCTTGACAACGCTTGCCGCCGAAAAATTCCTGATTCCAGTGTAAGTTACACTTTTCCAAGCTTTGCGATCCAAGGCAGTATTCTCCAAATCATATATATATATATATATATATATCCGTATATATATATATATATATATATATATATATATATATATATATATATATATATATATATATATGAATTTAGCACTCTTAGATACCGGTATGTCTATTATAAAATATATAAATAAAAATTCACATTCCTCTCTGTCGGGAGCTGATAGGAAAAATTTACGACTGATACCAAATAGGTTTAGTTTCGATCCTGACTAAAGGCAATCGGATGTGTAACCATACTGATGAGCTGTGTTACAGCGAATCAGTATGTCTGTGGATCACACACACACATAAACATACATATATATATATATATATTTAAGCAGTAAGGGTTCATCTAAATATGTTTGATTAAATGCAATTAACAAGGTCTATGTGTTTAATATTTTACTGTAATTCCCAATTTTCGAACAAGACATTGAATATTAGGTTTGTAATTGTTTATAAACTAACCGAAGTTTGTTCGATTGTTTTGTCTAAATACTTTTGCCCATTCATTTTCAAATACAGTTGGTGTGTATATAGGTTTAAACTTTAGAAAGATTAAAATTAAAATATTCAAGTCTATCATACGGACGCAATTGGAAAAATACAATAAGTGTTTATTCGGTTGTACTTAATTTTTGGGATATGTATTCATTTTTCAATACCGTCACCGTTCCATACGTGTTATTACTATTCTTGTCTTCCATACTCACAAAATTATGTTCTTCATAATGAATGAGAGCATTTACTGGTCAGAAAATTAAAAATTACAATAGACAGACAGACATTATCGTTTCAATTAAAATTTCGTTTATACACAGACACACACACACACACACACACACACACATATATATATATATATATATATATATATATATATATATATTATGAAATCGACAAATTATTTTTAAGACATTTTTATGTTTATACATTCTTTTTATAGATACAAATATTTAAGTAAATTCTCTGTCTATAATGAACAGTATTAAACAATATTTAACAGTCTGAATATCCGAGAAATTTTCATAGAAAATATCCGTCCTCCTACAGGAATATTAACCTGTATTCTATACGGAAACGTCATTTAGCCTGACGTGCCTTTAACCGATTTAACCACAGAAGAGCGTTCGGTTAGCAAGGTCGAATTTACTGCCTTTAAACTTCAATCTTCCACGAATCTCTAACGTACATTCATATCTGCTCAAAGCGTATCCAAATGTAAACAAATGAAATCACACATTATGAAATGGACAGTCTGACGATTATTTTTAAGACATTTTTATGTTTATACATTCTTTTTATAGATACAAATATTTAAGTAAATGCTCTGTAAATGTTGTTCAATACTGTTTATTATAAGAATAAACAGTATTGAACAACATTTACCAGCCTGAATGTCCGAGAAATTTCCATAGAAAAAAATCGTCTTCCGACAGGAATCTGACCTGTATCCTGTACGGAAGCGTCATATAGCCTGACGTGCCTTTAACCGATTTGGCCACAGAGGAGCGTTTACAGGCAGTAAATTCGACCTTACTAACCGAACGCCCCTCTGTGGCCAAATCGGTTAAAGGATATGTACAAGAGTCTCAAACACAACCACAAGAAACCACAGACTAGACGAGATGAAAAAAAACTCATCATAAGAAAATAATCACAATGTCCTGTCAACAATAGTATTGAAAAAGCTAAAGAAATTAACATCGACACACTGCGAGAAAGAAAAGGAAAAAAGGAAAGAAAATGTCATCCCTTATATCTCAACATTCAGTCCAAAGAACTTAAATCACTAAAAAAGATACTGGCCAGTAAAAACCTGCAGAACATAATTAAAGACCCTTAGGTAAAAAATGCAACCAACCACTTTGCAGGACACCTATTAGAGAGCCATGAATTTCAGTTCAAAGACGGATCCCAAATTCAAAATGATTTCTCGTGCGACTCATAGAATTTAATATACATAATTACATGCAAAGGTTACTTTGGACAAACCGGCCAGTTACTCCTACAAAGGATGACACTTACATCACCAAAAAATCAGGGACTCCCGCAACAGAAAAATACACCTTAGCCAATATATAGAGGCGTGCAGAGGACAAAATCTACTAAATCTTTGTGTCTTCCCATTCTACCAGTGCGACTATAGAACCACTGAACAAAGTTGGATTAATAAGGAAACATTTTTTAAACAATTTCAAACCCATATTTAATTCACGGCATGAATCGATTCTATCAAATTCCTTTTACCAGAGATGACATATATAGCCGATTATGCCCCTTGATGTTCATTTTTTTTCATTGTAACAAAATATACACATCAACACGTGGAGACAGAAACATTTAAAAACTTTATGAAAATCTAAGCGAAACCGTTTAAAGTAAAAAAAAGTTAAAAAAAAAGGAAAATAAATTATTTTCCGAAGACAAAGCACTGAAAATCCAATTGTAAGTGATAATGTTTTAATTCTTCTCTGTAAAAATGAATATATTATAAATAAATATCACTATATTAAATATTAGGTTTTGTTTTTTTTTCCAATCCTCATTTTAGTTTGTACAAGTGGTTTTTGTACAGAATATTTTGAATGTTTTTTACCTGTACATATATATGTATACACACACACACACACACACACACACACACACGTGTGTGTGTATGTGTGTGTGTTTGCATGCATATAAATCTTAGAATGGTTAATTAAAATGAGTTCAGGTATTGTTTTGTGGGAGAAGAATCGTTACTTCTAATTCCTGTAATTCTTCTTGCGCTCCATCTAATGAATTTCGGCCGCAGCCTGTCATGTCTTTTTGTATTCACCAATTTGCTGTCAATTTACAATCGCCCAGTGTGGAGATAGAGAACAGCGCCGTATAATGAGAACCAATTTCACGCATTAAGCGTGCATCAAACCATGTGATCATCGCTTAAGGCGTAAAACTGTCAGTTAAAATGCACTGCTGACTTCTAGTTACACAGTGTACAAATCTAATATCAATCTATTGCTGATACTGAATATATTCCTTCGCAAATAAAGCAAACATATATATATATATATATATATATATATATATATATATATATATATATATATATATAAATAATATGTGTGTGTGTATTTTAAAGAGAAATCGTGACCTTCAAGGACTAAACAAAAAGAGATTCCCTTTACAAGAGCAACATCAAATTAACAGACAACAGAAAACTTTTTTTGTATCACAACACATCTACAAATGTAATCAAGGTAAATTTTTAATTATGCCAATATATCAAACAGACAATTATTCTAAACTGCAAATACAAGAAAAAAAAAACTTTATAGACAATTTTAAACCAGCACTAAACAGAACATGGCCCTACACACATAAACAGATCATGACCCCTACACACATAATGGCCGAATTCACAAGTCGAGTCTCACACACACACACAAGAACACACACACACACACACACACACACACACACACAAACGCACACAAAATTATCTATGGAGAACGAATATATATACACATAGTGGCAAAAACAAACACAGTAGACTAACCACAAGCACACGCCCGAACGCTACACAACGTAAGAATTATATATATATATATATATATATATATATATATATATATATATATATATATATATATACTAATTCCTTATAATTAAACAATATATATGTATGGAGAAGGAATATGTATATACATACAAGCTAAAATACACATGCACACACAAAACACGCACACACAATACACACAATTGGAGATAGGTTTAAAAAGATACAGGGGTCATAAAAAGATAAGAACAAGGACAAACTTCTTCGCGCCCTTTCGCTGACCAATCTTATTTGTCTTATTACTGCTTAAGCAGAAGAATATTTTCTCCACAGGTCCAAAAAAGATTTGGATTATTACTACACAAAAAAGATAATGGTTAAACATCGGAAAACATAAAGAAAATTAATTCCTTTTAACAATACGTGAAAATAACAACTC